GGTCCTGGAAGGATGGAAAGTCCAACATATCCCTTGATGATCCAGGTAAGACAACACTAATAAAAGGCTGCAGAGAAACAGACTAGTAATTAGCGAGGGTAAGATAGTCACACAGAGTGATCTGCCTAAGCTGGAAAACTGAGCCCATTCAAACAGAGTATATTTTTTGTAGAGCTAAAGGTAGGTTGTCTCTTCTGAATGATAGACTGTATTCTGGAAAATTCCAGTTCTGGAAAAATCCTAGATGTCATGTCACAGTCGAGAAGCAATTTAATGCAAGCTCCCCCTGTGATAACATGGCAAAAAGTGTAACCAAGGTGGTAGGGAATTAAAATAAAATAGGGTTAGAAAATAGGTTTGTGAATTTGTAGCAAGTTGTAACTGTAAGAACATTATGCACCAGCAATGCTGCTCGAAAGCCCATTTAACCCTTCCCATCTTGATTTAATTATCAAGGAGTTAAGTGTAACATTGTGATCATGGTATTATGTTTTGTTCTAATAACAAGTAGCTAGAAAGAAGGAACACCTTGGTCAGTTCTACGGTCCGGTGGGTAGGTAATTATTCATTCTATAGTCTTGTCTTAAAACAAAGGACTGTGGGGTGAATGATTGCATATTGCACCGATAGCCCGTGAAGGTCTATTTAGTGTTGCCAAGCTTAAGTGAACTTTGTAGGAAAGGTAATTCCGGCAGGGGGAGATCGCGACCACCGACTCAGAGACCACCCACTCAAGAAACCCTCCGACTCAAAAGATTAAGGAAGTAAAATCTCAAGAAATTATAGTGAGCATGCGTGGTCATTTACATGTGAGGCGAGGAATATTTAACCAGTCATTGTATGGAAACTTGATGAATATGTATTAATCTTGCCTATAAATGTTTGATTTTTGAACTGATCAAGCAAACACGATTTAGGAGGAGCTATCCCCCGTGTTCCCGGCGCCGTGAATAAAGAATGCCTGCCTTTTAATACTACATTGTTGTTACGAGGTTTATTCCCAATTTCGGTGACAAAAGGGTGAATATACTCTTTGAGTACACATGGAGGAGAATAGTAAGCAGCAGTATGGAGGAGCATATTCCAATGTCACATACAGTGATAAATTACGCCCAGTGCTACATGGCCATGCTTTAAAAAAAAACATGTTGAGAAACTGATTGCCAGTTTTCCAGCCTGGAAAATATCCTTACAAGGGATGCTGACTTTATTAGAGAGGTGACTTGCTTGCAGTTTATGTTTATGCACACCTGAAGTTGAAAAAAGACTCCAAAAAACCAAATCAAAACAAAGAATGCTAGGCTTTAACAACCAAGAGCAAAAATGAACACTGGAAGAATCAAATGTTAGAAAACAAGGCCAAACAACCTGAATTTAGAATTAAGGTACAATTTCTAAAAGAGCAAAGGCAACTTAACCATTTGAACAAATTGCAAAGTAAAACTATGGATTTTTCATTATCCACCTTCAAATTAAGACTCTCAAGTTTTTCTGGCAAATATTTTTATGGAAAGCCAAGTTAGTTATTGGATTCAACACAAATATTAGCCGATGAAATCTACCATCTTGCACTATGTAGAGTCAGGCCAGATTATCTAGTAGCCCATTAATGACTTGATTTAATGGTTACTGGTGACACTTTCATGCAGTTATCTACTTAATCAGTGATCATATGAATAGATGAAATGGAGAAAATGAAGACTGGAAATGATACTCAAAAAAGAGTGACTGGAAATTACTTCTGGAGATAATTTGGTTAAATTTGGGAAATTTTATCAGGGAATATTATTTTAACTATTAAATTTAAAATATTAAAATCAGGGAAAATTTGGTTAAAGAGTAAACCAAGGGCAAAACCCAGATGTGTTCCTCAGTGTATGTATAGCTCCCATATAGTGAAGCTAGATGTAGCAACAGCTTTATATGTAATTGTTTGTGTCTTACTAGCTAATGGCCAAGTTCCTTATTCAGCCTTAGACAACTTTTTTATGAACATCAATGCGCAATCTTCAAGCTGAGGCAACCACATAAACCTAAATGCCTGCTACAGTCCACAGAGTTGGAACATGACATGACTTTTCCTTCACAATGAACTTGCCCCCTCCAGTTTAGTACATTACTTGGCTCCAGCTGTTACCATGCTTAGAAATCATATGCTGGATTCCAGAATTAATCCAGGAGGGTTGCTGCTATATTGGATCAGTTCAGATGCTGGCCAAAGCAGATGTTATCCTGGAACTCACTTGCAGCAACAGAGAGGATAAATGTCCTCCCCTGCAGTGTAATCCACTTAGATGTTATTGGTGTAATTGTTGTTCAGGTATTACCAGGTTTAATTAAAGGTTATCTTCCTTTATCTATCAGGAAAGGGTCAGCGCCCAACTAAAAGCAGTTACACGCTGCTTCAGGTTTGGCTTTCTCTACTGGTCACTATAAATGATATGATTGCTAGCACAGTACCTTCTGTGCAACCTCTCTATCTTATTTTCCAGATTCAGATGCTTATCAGAGTATAAGAAATAACTGTTATTTTCCATACTCTTCCTTGAAATTCTAATGATGCAGCAATTTATTTCTGCCTTAGTCTCTCTTCCACTACATTATCTGAAATGCCACTGTTTCAATTTTATATTCACTTACTTCTGACCCAATAAACTTATCTATTTCCCCAACTCTGCACATGCATTTTTCAATGCCTGCTTGTTCTGCATAGGTCACTTTTATCATTGTTTTTCTCCACATCTACCTTCACTCCTACTTTTTAGAGTATCTTGACTCCTTAAATTTCCACAATTCAGGGAAATATGGAAATGGGAAGGGATAAAATTTTGTTAACCTTACCTGAGAAACAGCTTTAGAAATTCTTTATTAACTTCCCTCTCCGTATCAGCGAAGGCAACTCCTATTCACACCTCTGTTCTTTGAATATGATCTCAGATGAAACAACAGAAGGTGTTCTTAGAACGTATTTCTAAGGTAAAATAAACACCAATATTTCAGCCCTTTTCTTGTTCTGCATTTTAATAGTACCTACATATCAGTGCCATTACCAAGACCCTAAATGCTAGGATAATATGTAATATATCTTTTATTTCATCACTGCTCAAGGCAAAGCCCTGCAGGCCCCTGTTCTTTATGTCTTAAATGACAAAAGCTTTACTACCAGTCAATAAAATGCACTGAGCTAAACCACACATTATTTAGCATATCAAATATGACTTTGTGACTATAGTGAATAAAGGTGAGGTTTTCAAAGACTTCTTCACTGGTCACAGACAGAGAATTTAAAATCAGTCCCCAAGCCCTTATACTGCAATGTGATCACACTTATTTCAGAAGATTCAACCAACATGTAAAATGGTCTGCAATGGATTTGGATGCTCTTCAGCTCTCCTGCAGGTTAAGCTTCAATAAAGGGAGTAATTAGATGCATTCAACATCTGCTACAAAGCCAGCAACATGATTTTTTGAAGCTTTGTACCAAGACTCATAATTGTATTCCCGATCTGTTTCCAAGTTAATTAAACTGGGAGGGAAAAGAAAAATGCCTTTTACAAGTGAAAGGTGTTTTGTAACTGCTTTCAGTGAAAATACTGCTCCTTTCACACCTCCTTTGAATGAGTGTAATGTTGACCCTGCTGAAAAGCTCTGTTATTGTTGCTAGTATGATGGATCAGTTTTCTAGATGTAAATCCATGTAAATGCAGCCACAACTACCAATGTACTCTAGATATCTGAATGGTGGATGATAACCCCAGATTTTGCTTAAAGCAGTAAAAACACTGACATGTTACATGGCAGAAAGGTGTGTACGTTCCATATACACCCAGCCTCCCTATTTTCAGCAAATTACCATGAAATCAGGACCAAGGCCATCGGCTTGCCTTCAACTGATTACTGAACAGGCATTTAATGACCAGTCACAAATCTGCCCTCTTCCACAGCAAAATATTATATACTATTTCAACTTCTGCAGTATGAAGCAACACAGACCAACAAGACAATTCAACTGGAGATTCAATTAAGAGCTTTAATCAAAGCACAGACAGTAGAGAATACAGTATTCTGAGCTTCCCCCCAAAAGATAAAAAAATACTTCATAAGTATTTTACACATTTACAAAATGTAAATTTTCCTGTAACAAATAATATACAAATGTTTTTCACTACAAAATGTATAATACATTTCTATGTTACAACTGTTGCCTTCTTTTAGAATTATGTATTCCCTGAACTGTTCTCCCTAAAAACCAGGAGAGTATAATAAATCCAAAACTATAATAAATATACTGCTAATGAGGGTGGTAAATGCTGAAGAAATTGATTCAAAACATCCAGTTCTTTTATCCATCAGATTGCTAAACTAAATGGCTTACTCACATGAATTATATTAACATGAATAAATGTTTTGAGTGTCAAACCTCAAAGCAAGACTGAACAATACAGTCACATCTCCACGCTCTGAAAAAGACATCATGCTTTGCTACCAACCTACAAAGCAAATAAGCCACTTTGGACCTTGGCATTTTGGGTTTATTAATTCTCATCTTTAGCAATAATGGGAAGAGAGAAAACAATCCTTATAAACAAAAGTAAGAAATGAAGGTATTAGTTACTGAGATTTATCCAGAAAAGGACAGTGCTCAGATACGGTTTGTATTTTACCCCAGACAGGTAATATATTTAAGTCTTTAGGTATTATTTGATACCTTAGTGCTGATTTTTGGTTGTCACCATCATACTCTACTTGCCACATTCCATCACTTGCTGAAATAGATCTGTCTCAGTCATTTAACAAATGATTCTTCTCCAGAGGCCAGAAGGCTTGCTGAAAAAATCCCCACAAAGCAGCCCAGTAACTCATGTGGAGAAATCAGGGGAACATCTGAGGAACACTTTGACTTATGGACAGTTGGAATTGCTACTAAAAAACTGAAACATTGCATGAGGAGTAGAGAGTGGTGCAACAGAAAAAGTACCAATAAAGCTTTAATAAAAAAACCAAACCAACTTGCTAAATGTTTTGCAATCTTACTGCACTGCACTGTTGCTCAGCTGTGCCAACCTGCTTGATTGTCTAAAGTCCTGCAAGGAAGGAGATACCCAGAATGCACAGGAGAAACCAAGACCACATCTTACAGCCACACACACAATAAGTCAGTAACTGACCCTGTTCATTTTGTGTCACTGACTTAAACAGGGACTCTGTTCTCCTTGGCCCACTTTTTCATGATGCGGACAATGTATTCTACTTGAGAATTACCAGTGCTCTTCAGAAGATGCAGTACTTCCCGTAGAGTCTCTCTACAAAGGTGAAAACCAAAGATTTAAATGAGGGTAAGACCCAACTGATACAATAAACAACTACCCACATCCAAACTGTTTTGCAAAACGTGGTAACGTGGTTCCTAGACAGAGAGATCCATTAATCTCCAGAGCAGGAATAGGTAAAAATGCACAGTAGATGAGATTCCAGGGAACAACAACAACAAAAAGTCTCATACCCAATTGCAACAAGGAGAGAAATTAAAAGTAAAAAAATCATCAAAATATAATTAGCTTGGAGTTTAGTGTGCACATGTGTGTGTATTTATATATAAATCCTTACTCTTGCAAAATAATTCCCCAGAACAAAGCAAACTTTTTTTTTTTCCTCTTTAATGCTACTAGCTAGTCTTCAGCATGGCAACATCTAGCTTAATGCTGCCAAAGCACCTTACACATAAATACAAACAACATGGAAATGAACATTACCAATAGGATAAACTAGTATGAAGCTGCAGTTTATCAGCTACTTTACAGCAAGAACTTGTATGCATATTGAAAAACAGGCAAGCTATGTGTATCTTACTGCATCTATGGCAGTAATTGCTAAAAGGACACTTGAAGGGTGCAGTACTTAATGAGATTACTCCAGTGGAGAAAGGAATACAAGGAAGGTTTAGAGGCCAAGATACACACCTACCAGTCATGTACGAAACAGCAACTTTGGCCAAGGGAGGACGGCCATCTGGCATCACAGCAGAATATTCACAAGGGAACAGTTCTTAAATACAGCCTCACTGCTCTCTCATTCTCCCATCCAGTGAGATGGGCCGAAAGCAAAATTATCAGTAACACAGATAATTGCCTTTAAGCTTTCACCAAGTAAGTATATTTGTCTGACATGGACAATGTCTTCAGAAAGCAAATTTTAGTGAAAACACAGTCTCATTTACTCGTTGTTTAGAAAAATTGTGTCCTTCCTACAGTGCTGGGTAAATGTTTCCTTAGTCCTGTTCTATGAACCTTAAAATGTCATGGGACAGTTTTCCATTCTTACGCCATCAATGTGAAAGGAGGGTCTTTTCCCTCAGTTCATGAGCATACTACATTTATAACTTAGCTCTTCTTAGTATGACTAATGTATTTTTGTTTCCTACAGTTCATAGCATTCGCTGATAAGTTATTCTTCACTGTATATTCTATAACTTTTGGTGTGGAAGATACACTTCAAATTGAACATTGTATATGGAACCACTGGCCAGTGTGTCTATTCTCTGGAAAATCAATAAAGAATTGCAAGAGGACACATAGTCCTAAAGCTAAGATCAAGATTCTGGCTTATAGCTAACTGGAAATAGGAAAAGAGCAAAATACATTCAGATACAACACAGAATACTCACTTTGCTTCTCGGCCAGCTAAGATCATTTGAAAGACACCCACACAAGCACCTCTCTTGCCTTCCCAGTATTCAGGATTACTGTCCAGTCTCTCCAGAACATCAAACGCTTTGGCTGAATAGTAAAACTGACGCATCTGCACAGAAAGCGAAACATTATTCCTGACTATATGACCATCTTTCAGAAGCAAATTAAAATTTTGGAGCTGTTTTCTGAAATCAGCAGCAAGTCATAGAAGCAATGTGTACTTTCCTGGTTTTCTGCAGGCAGCAAGTGACACAGAACAAGCACATTTCAGTTCTACGTAGGGAAACAGGTGGTATTATAACATTACTGGTCTATGTCTTTGAACATATTACAGACAAACTGCACTGTGAACTTTATTGGTTGGCAATGATCAGCACTGTTGCTTTGATCATATACAGATAACACTAGCTTGCAGGACTTCTTTTTTATGAGGTGCTCTATCTAGTGTCATACAGACTATACCAAAGTCCTTGATAGACTATCAACTTTAAACTAGTCCAAACATTTGAAAACAGAACCACTAAAGATGGTCACAGAGACATATTTGGATGTCTTTTGGGTTTGACTTAGAGCTACATTTTTTTCTTCACTTTTACAGTACAGTACAAAATAAGATTCAGTGACTCTATAATCCAAAATTTTCCTGAGCATATGAAAATCCACTGTGAAGCCCATCTTTTCTGCCTTAGGTTCTTTACTTGTAAATGGGAACAAAAAGCAAGCTGGTGGGCAACAGTCAATGTGACAGGAGTGACCACTGTAACTGTGGCTTTTGAAGTCAGCATAACTCATGTGGACTTTATCTATGACTGTAAGTGGGCTTCACTTGGGCAAGCCTGAATAGTAATGTTGTTTGTGGCTAGCATCTTCCCATGAGAAGCACAGCCTCCAATCCTTTGGTGGCTGGAAGCCTGCATCTGCTGAGAAAAAAGGACAGGCTGTGGGAGTCACATTTGCAAACTTTAGTCAGAAAAACACACGTACTACAGAATGAGTAATAATTCCCTTTTCTTCACATAAATGGTGATTTTAACCATAGGTGACTGGCAAGCACTTAAATGGATGGGAATAAGATAGTGAATATAAACAGTATCAGATATGTCAGCTAAAAAGAAAAAATTGCATACCAATCTCTCCAAACTGGCATCTGATCTAGTTCCATTAAGGAGATACTAATTTAATGTCCTCCTTCTATCTGACATAAAAGCAGGAAATGCTTCACCCCAAGTCATGTGCTGTTCCCTGTATGGATAAGATGGGCTATTGCATGAAAAGCAGCAAGAAATTAGCCAGAAGTCCTGCATCCCAGCTTCCTCACTGAACAACTTCTATCAACATAGCAACAGGGCATCCAGCTACACCTAGTCACAGGACACTTGTTGACCTTGCTTCATCCATGTTCATTCAGCATTCTGTTGAGTGAAGCCTGGTGCAACTGCCTTCTTAAGTTACAGCTATGGTGCTGTGTGTGGACCTCCGATATGTTATGATACGATAGTTCATAAAAATGGAAAATGCTACATGAACTCAAACAACATGGGCCTTGCCATTTAGTGGAAGAGGTACAAACAGCTGGTAGCGTAGAAAGACAAGCAGCTACACAGGAAAAATAGTCAGCGATAAAATGTACCTACATTTTGGGTTTGACTTAGAGCTACATTTTTGAAATGAAATTCCTTGGTCTTTGGAGCAGTCATCTATGGCCATATGTAGACACATACTTAGGCTGAAAGATTTAGTCCTTTAAGTGCAGTTTTTAAGAGCTCTAGATAAATCGAAAGTGTGGAGCTGCTTCTCCTTTAGAGTGCTATAACATTTTGAGAAGAAAAGACTTAAAATGATCTAGAGAGAGAGATTTTACATGAGGTCTGACCATTGACTTGCTTTCACAAGTTGTAGCTATGGGAAACACCAGAGGCATAGGCACTTGCTTGAGCATCAGGACTTTTAGGGTGAGATGGTGGACTGAGTACTTGAAAGATGTGCAAAAGATCATTTGCTCAGTTTTAGGAGAATGCTTTTGAGATCACAAGGTAGATTTTCTGACTTTCAGTTTTGTGTTTGTTAAAATTTTGAGAATATGTTACTTTGTCAGATGAAGGAAAACATCAAAAAAGAATGTTGCAGATAGTATGTGGACGCTGCTGCTCTTTGGAGAGCCTGGCTGAACTTAGACTCATTGGGACGTTTTCCAATAGGACTCAGTTTACTGTCTTTCCTCTATGACGGCAACTTTGGTCACTGTATCTCTAATAAGCCTATACTAATAGCTGCTAGCTCTTGTGTATTCACCTGCATTAGGCTCCACTGAAGCAGCTCCATGAGCTTTACACCTATTATCTGTGTTCTTATCTTCTTCTCACATCTGCTGCCTTAAAACAGTGAACGACTGTATTTGCACAATCACCAAATTACAATCTGTCTTCATATTCTATATTTAGTTAAATGAAATCTAAAGCAGTTGCTCCCCAAATAACTTCAGTCCATCTTCTGGCTCTGGGCAATACATTCTGAAAAGTGGATGGCCTGTGTCTCACTATGACACTTTCTCAAAGAACATCCTTTTTTCCTACCACTGAGCTGCTACTCCTCTAGGTCCCAACACAGTGCAGATGGCAGAGAGGATACTGGATACAGCACCCTATTACAGTCTACTGAAATCTTGCACAGCAGTACACTGCATCGGGCAACCAATTTTTCTTTCTCCCATAGTGCCATTACAATCCTCTCAAACAAGTTTTCTTTACATGCCTCTACATCTATCCTGCAGAGGAAGCTCTCATGTTTTCCTTCCATGCTTTGCAGAACAGCAAAAACACTCGAATCAGAGCTAAGTCTCACTGTGTATAGGCACCATCTGAAGAATTAGATGTTAGGAATGTAGACAGAATTGTAATCAGCTTCCCAAGATCTCTTCACTATTAACATAGCTTTGTATAAACTAGAATTTGGAAGTATGTCAGCAGCGTATTAGCATGGAGCATCAGAACTAGTAAACACAATCTAGAAGCTTAGTACAAGCAAGGTAGCATGTATTTTAACTTGTTCTAAAACGCCCAGAGCACCCCTACTAAATTGGACATTGCCTTGTCTAGCTTGACTTTTAAAAATGATAGACAGCTTAATCTAACCTCATCTCTATAAAAGTGCCCTCTAGAAAAGGTTCAAATGAAGAACTAATATGTGTTAGTAGGGATCCTGCTGTAGGCAGTTAGGCTTACCATTTTTTCTGAGTAGTTTTAATCCTAATGACTACACACACACCATGTCTCTTGGTCCCACCTGGGCAGATAGAATAGTACTTGTGGCAATTCTCTTTCCATTTCCTTACGATTAACAAAGGAGTATCTCCCATTGCCTTTATAAGCTTTAAGGAAAAAATTAACACTGTCCCAGAAAAAAAATGCAGCATGAGGCTCCTTGCTGACTCTATGCTACATTTTTTTTTTTCTTAAAGGTTTCTTGTCATTTCTACCAACAATGAATCCTTAGTAGGAGAATAAACTGTTATCATTATTGATAGCTCAAGTATGCAGTAATTTACCAACGTTTTCATCAGTGGGTTGTCTACCAAGAAGGCCTGTAGGTTAAAATACTGACTAATCCATGCCAACTCATCTACATTATTAGACATGCTGTCATTCTAAAAGAAAGTTCACTAGTGATGACAATGATGGAAAGTATCAAAAAATGGCTGGTTTTTGTACAATCACTGAATTAATGTGCCGTACACCAAGTTGTAAAGGGAAGACTCACTTTGTAGCAATCATTTGCAATGAGCTGCAATAGGTTAAAGGACTCCCCTGAGGTCTCCATCTTCAGATAGAGCTTCCAGGCCAACTGCGGTTTCTTATTCATAATATCTGCAATAACAACAAAAAGCTGGGATTGTGAAAAGAATATGCCATGAACAATACTCAGTGGCAGGTGGAATAAATGTTCCTAAATTTATTTGCTTAATGCAAATGCATGCCTCACCCTGTAAGCATGAGGTTAGGAAGGGAAACTTGTCCTTATCTTGTGCCTTACTAGTGATAACAGCCAATTAATCAGAGAATACTAACGTCAAGAGGAATAATTATGGCATTTACATCTCAATTTATATTTCACAGATACTGCAATAAGCACAACTCTCATGATTTCAGATGTGATTAAGGAATAGAATGGGAAGCATTAGAAGTTATTTTATGAAGGACAATGAACTGTGGTAATCCATTTACATGGTGAAATTTAGGATTATGTCTTCTTACACAGAGAAAAATTTTAATTGGCACCGCACTGTGGTACTTGGTGCCCACCTCAATCTAAACATTCAGATCCCATGATTCATAACAAACCAAAAGCAGGGGGGAGAAGCTCCTCCAAGCATAACAAAACTTGTCATTATGTGTCTACTAGGAAAAATGTTTCAAAATTTCTGAGATTTTGTGGTGGTTTTAGATTTGCCTATATGACTAGAATTTTTCATTGGCCTTTAACTTTAAACTCTATTGTCTGCTATACACAATTAGAAATAAAAGAATCTGAATCTTCCATCTCAGCTAGTGTAAAATTCTACTAGAGTGTTTGAACAAAGTATTCTAAAATTTTCTTTTCTCGAGATAAGAACCAATTCTGTTGAATCTGAGGTTGATATTGGTAATTCCAGATTCATTCAAGTACTGGGAGAAAAGAAATTGAAATTAAGTATTCCTTTCTTTTTCAAGTCTTACCAGCTACTCACAGAGTAGCTGCCTGTTCACACATGGACCACTCTTGTGCTCTTTCAAAAGAGGGACTGCTTAGCTTATAGTATCTGTGCCCACTATGCCAATACATATGTTGCAGGTAGAATGGGTGGCAATCATCAACAATAAACATGTAACACCAAATCACAGGATTTATAGACACTTCTCATTTAGGAGGCAGCGAGATATCAAATCAGATTTTTCTTTCATCAGCTCCAGATACTATACACACCTGGCAAACAGTTTCCAAATACCAACCCATTTCTATCTAGAGAAATGGAGTACTGTGCTAATTCAATGGTTTTTTACCTTCTCTTCAAGAAGAATTTGGTATAAATAGTACAATAATATTAAACAAAAAATACTGTCTAGCATCCAAAAAAGATACATCTCTGGTACTTTTTCCCCCTTGGAAATATTTAAACATTGAATTGTTTATGACTCAATACCTAATCATACTCTGACATGAATGTATTATAATGCTTTGTAATTTCTACAGCAGCTTTTATCCAGAAGGATCTAATAGTAATTTACATACTTGGCACAAAAAGATAACTACATTCATCACTGAACAGTTGTTTCTACAAAGAATTCTAGCAGCTGTTTGGGAATGAAAAATCAAAATTTTAAGACAGACACAGAATAATACAACAGCTCTACTGAAACTTCAGCAG